AAGCACAGAGCGGAAAAAAACCTTGAAGCGAGAATGCAGGAGGAAATCAAAAGGCAAGTGCAAATAGCAAAGGAGTGCAAGCAAGCGAGCATCGAGCCGAGAATCAACATTAGCCAATCTGCTCAGCTTGAAAAGCAACAAGCTTCCACGGAGATACCAAATCAAGGGGACACAGGATCAAGCTTCCCCATGGATGACGCCATCGAACCTTGTACAACGTGTGAGCTACACATTCCGAAGGAGAATTCCACAATCAAGGTGGCTATCGGTCTTGTTAATCCTATCGACCGAACCAAGACACCAAGGATTCATGGGAATATAATCCAAGAAGGATATGCCACCATCTCGGTAGATAAAGTCGAAAAAGGTTTTAGTGATTTGCCTCTTGACATTCCCGGAGGTGATGGCGAGAAGACTCTAGGAGAAGCGGAGAAGACATTCATTCTATGGCGCAAGCGCTACATCATCATTCCGTGGATGTCGGCTCCACCTCCTCCCCGAACTACCTCACCATAGGTATGTGCGGATGAAAACACTACATCATTAATTTGTATTGGCTTAAATAATTAACAATCTGCTCATAATAATATGTCATTCCTTTTTTGTAGCGAGATCCTCCCCAATCTAAATCCAATTGTTCAATCGCCAGATCATCATAGTGCTCAGACGATGACATTGTGTTGGAAGACGAGGCTGCATCCACACCTCTCCAAGGAGGTCTCCAACGCCATGCAGCCGCCACCTCCAAGGAGGTCTCCAACGCCACCGCCAACACCTCCAAGGAGGTCTCCAACGCCACGCCAACACCTCCAAGGAGGTCTCCAACGCCTCCCCGCCCCGCCTACCAAGAAGCCTAGCAAGAGGTCAGCCCCTCAAACGAAGAACCAGTCCCTTTTTGCAAAGAAAGCCACCGTGAAACCAAGGGTTATTCCCAAAATAATATCTCAAGAGAAGGAAGAAGGAACTGATGCATATAAAAAGACATGTCTAGATTCTATGACAAACTTAAAATGAATCAAGAAGCAAGGAGAAACCGAGAAACCGTACTTCTTCAGAGCTCTTGATATTTTAAGAAAAAGGTGATTTCTTACCAAAGATCAACAGCTGGAATCTCGTAAGCCATCCAAATCAACGTTATCGACTATGACCGCACTCTCACCAAGTCAATTGAGGCGGCATGTAAAAAAGAAGCGGGCAGGGAAAGGAGTTGCCCAACTCGGACAACAAGCGCACTAATCAATCCCCCGCTAGTTGTTGGTAATGAATATGGTTCGAATTTAGGATTAATGCATCAGCAAACATACCTCCGGATGTCGATTTGGATCACCTTGGTGAATTTCTTGATGAGACCGGTCTCGACCTTTACCAGATGTTTGGTGATGGAAACATTGAGAGTGCGGCGGAGGTTGATATTTGGAAGAAAAAATTTGTACTAGGCCGAGTCTATACAACCCTCAAGCCTTATCTCGATCTGGGGACGCAAATGTACCGCTAAACAAGTGGTACATGCAAAGCGTCTACCAATGGAGACTTCTAACGTTGGTGTCGAAATTAGAGACGAACATTGGTTCCGTGGCGATGATGTTATGTATGTTGACTTTGCGAATTTCATCAACTATGCCACCTGACCTCTCCGGGACAAAGTTATCATTAGTCGCTATTGCTCGTAAGTAATAATTCTTTCGATCTATTATTAAACTCATCATATGTGTGTATATGCATATAAATTATCCTAACAAGTACTATATATATGCAGATTTACAATGACAGAGCTCGTAAAGGAAGGCTGCAATGAAATTGGTTTTGTTGATCCCCATATAGTATTCAAAGACCCAATTACTCCAATGACTAATTGGAAGTCCGAGTCGAGAGTAACCTCATGAACTTCTTAGTGAACCAACGCCACAAGAAGGATATACTCTTTCCTATAACTTCAAGTGAGTGTTAATCATGTCGATCATAGCCTTAATGGCTCATATGTTGATTCTAGTTAATTAATGAGTGTTATGCGTTATATCCTATAAACACATGCAGCAATCACTGGATATTGATGGACATCGATCTGGTGAAAAGTCACTTGATAATCTATGACTCGATGAGAAAACCACAACAAGACTACCAAGATATGATAGATATTATCCAGAGGTAATTTCGAGATCTCTAGCAACTATATATACACACAAACATGATGATTAACTATATCTGGATGACGTGGCAAATTTTTTATTGGGCGGTGTTTGGAAAACCTTTATTGAGAAGCAACACATGGAAAAATGCAAAGCGCCACTGAATGTAATCCCTTTGAAAGTAAGTCCCCTGAATCGCATCATCTTTATTAATTCAACATATAGCTTTCACCGGATCACCAGATTGGATGACAAATCTTTTTCTCGTAAAGTGGTGTCTAAGGCAGGAACAGGGGAACAACTACTGTGGTTACTATGTTTGCAAGTTTATCAAGGTGCTCTCCCAAAGAACTCCTACAGAGAGACTCAAAGTACGTTAAAATACACTATATATTCATTTAATTATTATTATTGATTGTGTTACTATGTCTTTATATATATATATATGTACATATATTAATTTATTTTCCTTTAATTCAAACCTGTAGACTCGATGGTTGGAGGAAAAGGTCATACGGCAAGACCAAATCAAAGCAATTCAAGAGTCTATAGCCGGATTTTTTAATGAGCAGGTCATCGATTCCAAGGGCGAGTTCTACTTCGACCCAACACTGCCATTGAAGCCAAGCTAGAGGATGAGAAGAAACTTGTTATGTCACAACAACTATAATGCAATCTTTTGTAATATATGCACATGAAATAATATAATGTAAAATACACATATGCATGCATGCATGTAAATATATATATGATGCATGCATGCATATATATATATATATATATATATATTTCTATGATTGAATTGTGTGATTTAATACGTTCATTGTGCTTGACCGAAACATACTATATGCGCGTATAAATGTATAATTAGCAGCGTACAATACGACTTCGAAAACCTATTTTGAAAAGAAAACAAAAAAATGAAAAGAAAAGAAAAAGAAAAAACCTTTAGTCCTTGTTCAGATTACCAACCGGGACTAAAGGTGCCGCCATCGTGGGCATGTCAGGAGGCACCTTTAGTCCCGGTTGGTGTTACCCACCGGGACTAAAGGTCCTCCTTTAGTCCCGGTTCCTGACCCGGGACTAAAGGACCCCCCCTTTAGTCCCGGATGCTTGCTCCCGGGTGGGGAACCGGGACTAGAGGGGGTTCCCCACCGGGAGTAAAGCTCGGTTCTGTACTAGTGTGTGCTGCTGGGCAAGCAGAGTGGTTTTGGCGCTCCATGCACAATGACACACGAACAAAAGAGTTTGTTTTAAAAAAATAGGTACTAGGGGTTATTTCTAAAATATTGTTTAGAAAAAGATTAACAATAAAAAAAATCTGGTCAGGCTTATAATGAATTAATGATGTTGACAAACAAGAAAAGACAACGCAGTTCCTTTGGCCGAGGTGGTGAAACCCACCATCTACAAAGTTTTTTTAGGTTGCCGTTACTATGACCAGGATTCGTAGGGGTGGCTGGTGAGTCACTGTAAAGGCAGTTGGGCTAGCTACCCCTACCAAACTGTCTCTACAAATCATAGATTTTTAAGGACAGCTGCCTAGCCGCTCCTAGAAAATAGATTTCTAGAGGTGGCTGGTAATTTCAGCCCCCTAGAAACCTTTTTGTAAGGGTGGTGTACAAATATGTTTTCTAGGGTTGCTGGTAACTCAAGCTGCCTCTAGAGATATATTTGTAGGGGTGGCTAGACTTTTCAGCCGCCCCAACAATCTATTTTCCTAACAAATTTAAATTCAAAATATCACCAAAATATACATACATATATAGATCCACCAAATACCGCACGGTTCCACCAACATGTCATCAACATAATGCATACAACGCATTGAATAATATAACATATTATTCACTAATATATCACATTTATGAGGACTGTACCATCCGCTATTGTTTTTTTTTTGAAAAAAGCACATCTAAACTATCGTTGATATAACACTTTATTGGCCAAAAACATCTAATCGAGCTACGTTTTTTTTTTTTTCTTCTTCTGCTATTGCGCCATTGCCGTAACTTTTCCATCCCAAATGTCTGCTTGCTTTTTTTTTGAAAAAAGCACATCTAAACTATCGTTGATATAACACTTTATTGGCCAAAAACATCTAATCGAGCTACGTTTTTTTTTTTTGCTTCTTCTGCTATTGCGCCATTGCCGTAACTTTTCCATCCCAAATGTCTGCTTGCACCAGCAGTCGAGAGTGCACTAATGAAAACTGTTAGGCGGACGAGTTGCAAGGAGTTACGGTGTTTGGAGTTATATAAGTTTTTTTTTTCTTCATGTCTAGATGCACATATCTCGATGCCGTGCATGCTGTGTGCTAGGCCCTAGACTTGGAGCTTATGTTGGTCATCTGTCATGCACACAGCATATGCGGTTGTGCAAACCTCTTGCAGAGGTGGGAATAAAAATTCTTTTTTCTAAAGAAAACATCATGTGCGGTCCACAAAGTCTTGGCCGGCTTAGATCATGAGATGTTAGAATTGGAGATGAGATTGTTGTGTTTAGAGAATAGTAGAGATGTTACACATTGGAACGGAGGCCAGAGGGAGTAGTAATTAAAACATATGCTCGTTTAAGAAATCAAGAAAACTATGTGTTTGCCGTATGTTCCTGCAGCGACAAGAAAAATACTAATCATCTGTTCAAAAACAAAGGGACATAAGCCTAGGCCACCATTTAAAATTGCAATTAAATTTCTGTTACATTACACGGATGTCATAGATTCAGATGACCAATCTTAAAGTAACTGTAATGAATCAGGTACATAGGAAATAACCCCCCGCAATGTATATTACTCTATATTTTAGGTAAAAGAAAAAAAAGTTTATTTGACATGCCCTGGCCGGCCGGCTGCCAACAAGTTACATAAGTCCATCAGTTGAGCATCCCTATACCACGCATCCCCAGCGGAGGCTCGACGGGCGGCTGCGATGACGGCCCACCTGCTGCCTCTGCCTCCGCAAGGCACTGCTTGGTGCATACACAGATGGCGCCTCCGAATCCCGCTGGCTCGGCGTCGCTCTCCCTCATCTGCTGCTGTTGGCAGTAACCTCCAGTGTAGTGCATTCCAACGCAAAGGGGGATGCAAATATAGGTTTTGCCAAAGCAGAGAGCCCAGGGGATCGGCGTTTCGCACGTGTTTAACGGTGTTATTGCTTCTGCCTCTGCTTCTGCTCCAGCTGCAACTGCAACCAACAGTAATCCATTTGTAGATTTTATAACTCAACCATTAGCTAGTGCTTCGTACAAATATTGCAGAAGTTTTGAAACTGGAGTTTCCTGGCCACTTACGATGCGAAGTGAGGAGGAGCAGGGCCATGGAGATGGCAGCCACCACGACATTCTGCTTGCTGAACGACATGGTCTTGTGAAGGGGAAGAATGCTACGTATCTGATGGCGGATGCTCAAAGAGGGTGTATATGTTCGGTAGTTATAGAAGGATGGTGACCTGCATTAGCTAATTCGGTATCCAAGATGTGGATGGAAATACTAATGTTGCGGATGCTATATTTGAATTTCCTAGATGGATACGGAAATCCTAATATTAGATGCTACTCATACATTGTCGATCTATGGTGTGTTTTGGTGCGTGGCTTCATTTTTTTTTGAAATAATTGACCTGTCACGTATGCATTCTTATGTATATCTATATATCTATCTCTTTTCGAGATAACTGATAGGAACGGGCTTTAATTTTTATACCTATTAAAAAAAGATATACTTTGGTCCACGATCATCTATCCATGTATCTATCTACCTAGATGTACTCGTCCTAATCTATCTACCTAGCTGTACTAATTAGAAACAAAACTTGCGAAGCACAGCTGCGAAAATATTTTTTCGTATGGCATTTTGCGGCACGTTTTATTAAAACTGTTGGTCATAAAATATAAACAGACGGTGAAAATCAACTGGTACTTATCCCAAACCTATGATGACAACATTTTCACCATCGGTTCGGGAGAGGAGCATATAGTAAAAACCACCCGCCGATCCCTCCCACTACCACTCGCGCTGCCTATCTGTCCCACCAATGTATCACCCTATGTGTCGGGTTCATAAACCGGAGTCCTCAATGGGCCCGCTTTCCAGCAAAATATTCGGACCAACAGACAACGTCGCGGCAAGACGCGACTCCTGAGCCAGCCCAGATACCTAACGACATGCCGGAAGAGCGATCCAGTCTCTGACCGGAGGGCCTAGCCAAGGAGGGGACGACACTCGCTTCTAACTCCGACCCGCTTTTTCCGACCGGAAGGACTGACAAAGGAGGGGGCAACGCTCGCTTCCGAGTCCGACCCGCTTCGCTGACTGGGAATACACCGAACATCTATTTTACAGCTTCCGACTCCAACCGGCGCAGTCGGTGGCAACTGGGTACAACCGACCGGGGACGCCTGCTCGGTATGGACCCAAGAATCAGGCAGAGCAGATAAGGCAAGACGCTCTGTTGACACCGTTTTTTGCACGTGTCAAAATGATCAGAGTGGGCTAATCGGCAGGAGGAGAGTTACTGTATACGCTGACAGCCGTGAAAATCAGCTTTTAAAGATGGTTGCCGATGAATGGTGGTGATCGATGGAAAGGTTGATTTAGACTTGGGCGTTGCCGATAAGGTTGGAGATATTAGTGTCGATGCCGATGAAGGAAGGCTTGAAAACTACTGCCGATGAAACAGGAAGTATGCCGATGGAAAGGAGGTCGGTGAAAATTCCATCGTAATCGAGGCGGACAGGGAAATAGATAGGAGTTGATTTCCTTTTCTATATTTGTTAGAATATGATTCATGTAAGAGTCACGTGTTTCCTTAGATATGGACTTGGTGTCCTAGTCGTATTTGGTTTTGTCTCTTTAGATCAGGGTATAAATATAGATTGAGGGGCAATGTAATAGGGATGAATCAATATCAAAAACCAATTTTTACTCCTATTTGCATCTACTTACTTTTCGGCGACTTCGTCAATTTGCATATTTTTCCTTTTTACGAGTTCTCATTGATTCGGCGAGTTGCATCGTTTCAGTGCAACCTTCGGCGATTCTCGAGTTCCGCGTGAGTACCTCTTGGCCGTGACTTCCGGGCGTATCGCTGTTGTCAGGACCAAAGTGCTCGTATCTTCATCCTTGTCGATTAACAGGTCAAATCGACTAGCACGCTTTGGACATCGATTCGGGTATTAGCCCTTTGTGTTTGCAGATTCTCTTTTGCATCAACACATCTTTTGGGACGCTTGGTGGGACACATCAATCCGATCAATATGATCAATCCCGAGATCGATTCAGGGAACATTATCGCGGTATCAGAAGAAGATCTTAAGGAAGAGCAGAGGCAGGCTATGGAAAAAGCTATAGAAGAATATAGGCAGCTTTATCTGAGATCGTTTAGCCTGAACAAGAGTGGGCAAGTCATCCAGAAGCAAGATTTGCCGTTGCCTCGGCAGGTTACCTTTGACTCCAATCCTGGTAAACTTGAAGAGATGGTTAATTCTGCAGTAAATCATGCTTTGATTAATCATTCTAATGTGCTGTCCAATACTGTTCATAATGCTGTGGTTCGAACTCTCAAAGAAGGACAAGCGTCACCGCATTACGTTGGGCCTGCCTATCACCAACCAGAGTCGGCATCTGTCAATACTCCATCGGCTCCCTCGGCCGTTGTGGGTACAGAAGTTACTTCTCCTCCAGTATCGGCAGGCTTACCTAATATTCAATCTACACCGATACGATCAGATCCGGTACTACCAGGAGGACGAGTTTAGCTTAATACAGATCTATCGGCATCAGCTATGTCAGGCCCTATGTCTCAGAATAGCCAGATTCCTGCTAATTGTTGGGGATATGGTATGCCTTCGGAGTCATCTGCTTTCAATCCTGGGTTACCTCAAGTGTTTGATGCAGTAGGAAAAGCTCCTATACCATCGGTTGTTTCGCCGATGGATCAAGTGCCTCAATATGCTACAAAGAAACATCTTGTGCAACCAACTCCGTGGAGGTTTCCAGATGCCTTTGGTTCAAACACCCAATTCAAGTCCATCGGCAAGCTTATCGCCGATGCAAAGAAAAAAGCCCTCGCTATGAGTCAAACTGGGTTCAGTTCATGCCTCAAGTGGTTATGATTATCCAACAATGTCAGCAAATTACCAGCCATCGGTAAGTTTTGTACCGATGAGTTCCAATAATGGTTGGTCAAGATAGTTATCTGTTCAACATACAGTTCAGCAAAATCAGCAGGTTGCAGGGATTCAACAAGGTCATATGCAAGCTGGTTTCCGAGAATCAAGCATTGGCAGCTCAAATTGATGAATCCTTTCCAAAGAAAGTTAATGGACCACAAGTAACGGCAAATATGCCGATTGTTTGGAGATCGTAATGAGCACAAAGATATGTGGAAGGATATCAGCCAGTACCTCCTGTAGAAATTCAACCAGTTTGTCGTGGGGAGGTCGATGCTTTTTGGGCCGAGAAGATAGCGTAAATTATGAAGGATCGGTTTGGGATAAAGCCCAAGGTCAATACTTATTCTTATCGGACTCCATACCCTCCTGCATATGATTTAATTCCTCTCCCAAATCGGTACAAGGTACCAGATTTCACTAAATTCTCTGGGCAAGATGATACATCAACAATGGAACACGCTAATCGCTTCATTATTCAATGTGGAGAGGCAACTAGCGCGAGATGAATTAAGAGTTCGATTATTTTCATCATCTTTGTCTGGATCGGCATTTACATGGTTCATTTCATTACCACCAAATTCTATTATTACTTGGGCTGATCTAGAAAAACAATTTCATAAGTATTTCTTTGCTGGAATCCATGAAAAGAAGCTTACCGATTTAGTAAAATTGAGACAGCGTAATGATGAATCGGTAGAAAGCTTTGTGCAAAGGCTACGAGATGTAAAAATAAGTGCTACAGCCTGGTGCTTGGATGATCGGCAGCTTGCCGATCTGGCTTTCCAAGGGTTATTGCCACATCTTAAAGATAGATATGCTTCTCAGGAGTTTGAAAGCCTCAGTCATCTTGTGCAAAGGATCTCTGATCAAGATACTAGGGTTTTTGAACCTAAAAAGAATTGGAGTAAAAAAGTATCATTTGTTGAAGAAGTAGGAGATTCTGATTCTGATGAAGAACCAGTTATCGGCTTAGCTGAGTGGGTTAAGAATAAAAAGCCGATATCTTGTCCCTTTGGTCAGAAAGAGCCAGAAAAGTTTACCTTTGATATCACCAAGGCCGATAAGATATTTGATCTTCTCGCTTCAAGAGGGCCAAATTAAGTCATCACCTAATCATGTGATCCCATCGGCGAAAGAGTTGAAGAAGATCTTGTAATCGCAAATGGCACAATGCAACTTCACACAAAGACAAATGAGTGCAAGGTGTTCAGCAACAGCTTATAATCGGCTATTGAATCTGGGAGAATTAAGTTTGGTACTTCCAAGGCCCGTAAACCGATGAAAATTGATCAACACCCTTTTCCAAAGAAATATGTTGGAGGCCAAAGGAAGACCAAGGTATTGAGGTCGAGGTCACCGAGAAAACGCATCGTTGGATCCCCAACATCGGATAACTACCGATGATGCAAAAAGTAAGGGTTTGCCGGGAGAAAGCAAGAGTTCCAAAAACCCTCCTCGACCGGCATTGTGATTACCCATCGAAGGCAAAGCAGGAGGGTTGGCGCCGGTAGTAGGACCGATATCGACAACAAAGAAGAAGAGAGACGTCGGGAAGAATGGAATCGGCATAAAGATCATTGGAGGTGTCCGTTTTTCATCCATTGCTGGGAAGAAGGTATTAAATTGCCAACTGTTGAAAATTGCCCTGAGTGCAATGGTTATTATGGGGTCAATCGGTCAGAAAGGAGGTTTCAACCTGGCAATCAGGGTTTATTTATCAATGAGCCGATCGAGGGCGTAGCATCGCAGCATGATCGGTCAAAGCGCATTTTAGTGTACATGAGAGGCTTGGTAAACGCTACCGGATATTTTCCAAGGAATCAAGAGGAGCTTGAGGAGATGGCAAACGCAAGAGTTCCCGAGGAAGAAATATTCTATAGGGACCCTAATATACGCCGTGTAGAATCAATTGGGATCTGTTATCAGCCGGTTTGGAAGACCAAGTTTCCTCGATGGTGCCCGGAGGGTCTGACAAAGACACGTAAAAGGAGGATGGAACGTGAGCATCGTGAAGATTTATACCGAGAGGAAAATTCCTCCAATGAGAGGTCCGGTCATCGCTAGTGGGTGTAAAACACAAAAATAAGGGTCCATCGGCGATGTTAATATGGTATTCATGTTGCCAATGGAGTTTTTGGCACTATCTCGATAATGAGGAAGAAGTTGTTCTCTCTCGATCAAGTAGCT